TGAGTTCTGTAATGCCCTTGGTGGGAAGCGGCCTATTAATAGTATCTTAATTGCAAACAATGGGATGGCAGCTGTCAAGTTTATACGTAGTATTAGGACGTGGGCGTACGAGACATTTGGTACAGAGAAGGCAATTTTGTTGGTTGCAATGGCTACATCCGAGGACATGAGAATAAATGCTGAGCACATTAGAATAGCTGATCAATTTGTAGAAGTTCCTGGTGGGACGAATAACAACAACTATGCCAATGTGCAGCTCATCGTAGAGGTTTGTAGCTATCTTTTTAAGGATGTCATAATGTATATACCTCATTATCCTGATGCAAGATGAATTATAGCCGATCATCAAGCCAATGGTAACAACTTGTCTCCAGATAACTTGGTCTAGCCTGTGTAGCTGGTTGTATCTGTTACATCTTAACACCTTCTTGTAAAAAGACCAGGGACACAATGCCAAAAATAAAATGTAAATACTTATACATGGTGTACTTTCTTTTGCATAGATGGCAGAGATGACTCATGTTGATGCAGTTTGGCCTGGTTGGGGTCATGCATCAGAAAATCCCGAACTGCCAGATGCATTGAATGCAAAGGGGATCATATTTCTTGGGCCACCGGCTACGTCAATGGCAGCACTAGGAGATAAAATTGGTTCATCTTTGATTGCTCAAGCAGCAGAAGTACCCACTCTCCCATGGAGTGGATCCAATGTAAGTCTTTATGCTTGTGATTATATTCTGTTGGTTTCGCAGTGGTTAGTCTGCTTTTAATGGACAATTCGTAAATGGCACAGGTCAAAGTTCCTCCAGAAAGCTCTTTGGTCTCTATCCCAGATGAAATATATGCTAAAGCATGTGTTCATACGACGGAAGAAGCAATTGCTAGTTGTCAAGATGTAGGTTTCCCTGCAATGATCAAGGCATCCTGGGGCGGTGGTGGTAAAGGCATAAGAAAGGTCTGTCTTTTAATAAACAAGGCGCTGCGAGTAGTGCAATCAATTAGTTTAATATATATTCTTCTTGAAAAAAATATTGAAAAATTAAGCAGAACACATAAGGTATTCATTCGACCTAAGTACATGGCTTGCTTGCTCATTCCAGGTTCATAATGATGATGAAGTTAGGGCACTATTCAAGCAAGTTCAGGGTGAAGTTCCTGGCTCCCCAATATTTATAATGAAAGTTGCTTCTCAGGTTCAGCCATCTTCTTTCTTGTCTGCCTTAATGCTTCAACATATCTTTGGAGAGAGAGTATCTTTTAAACATTAGAATTGTTTTTTGATTTTCAAATAACTAGAGTCGGCATCTAGAAGTCCAATTACTCTGTGACCAATATGGCAATGTTGCAGCATTGCACAGCCGTGATTGTAGTGTTCAAAGGCGACACCAAAAGGTTAGTTTATATATAATTTTTTATTATTGTTTAGTAATGAGTTGAAAGACAACACTTATCTTCTATTTGCAATGTTGAAGCAACTAGCAGAGCCTTCATGAGGCAGCCACATTTACATCAGTGGAATGTCATCACTAATGTGTCTAATTTTCTTGAACTTAGATAATTGAGGAGGGCCCAATTACAGTAGCTCCACAAGACACGGTGAAAAAACTTGAGCAGGCTGCTAGAAGACTGGCCATAAGTGTCAATTACGTTGGAGCTGCCACTGTTGAGTATCTTTACAGTATGGACACTGGAGAGTACTATTTCTTGGAACTCAACCCTCGGTTACAGGTTGGTGATACTGCCATCTGCTTGAATGTGCACTATTTCTTTTCACCACGTAGAGGAAGGCATTGATCTACATTGGCTTCTTTTTTTTCCATTTGGGTGATAATTCTTTCATGCTTGTTTAAAGAAGCATTTAGAGTAATGAATTAAGTTGATGTTGGTTGTGATCACCTACATGATGATCTTGAACCTTTTTATTTTGTATCACATCTTTCTCATTCTATTAGGTTGAACACCCCGTTACTGAATGGATAGCAGAAATAAACCTGCCAGCAGCTCAAGTCGCTGTTGGAATGGGGATTCCTTTGTGGCAAATTCCAGGTTTTGTACCAGATATCACTTTTCTCGGCTTAAGATGTTCAGGTTCTTCTTTTCCTATTTTTAAGCTTTCTTCATTGATTCTATTAGAAATAAGGCGATTCTATGGAATGGAACATGGTGCCGGATATGATGCTTGGAGGAAAACATCTATTGCTGCGACACCATTTGATTTTGACAAGGCTGAGTCGACAAGGCCAAAAGGTCATTGTGTGGCTGT